AAAGTTTTCATGAAAAAATGAATTGTATTATTCAGTGAAAATTGTTGAACATGGTGTAAATGGCTTAATTTCCGATAGTTTCCGAGGCGTAATATACGCACAAACATACACGCACATGTCCAAACAGACGAAGTGGACAGTGATGATAGTTATTTAGATGATATGTAAATTTTTGCTAATAAAGTATAATAATTATTATTAATACACAAATAATTTTTATTTTCCCTTTCACTAATTACATAATTTAAGTTTCGAGTTTTAAGTAATCTCGTTGAATTTAGTAATGTATCGTTGAGTGTTTTGAAGCAGGTAAAAATTCTTCAATTCCTCATTAAGCGTTGGAACGTTGTAATGAATCATCAGTAATATTATAAAGAGTGATGAGTCTTTCATTCATTATAAATGCTATGATGTGAAAAAAATGTTTTGCTTTATTTTCTGCAATAAGGGTGGTTTTTAAGGGTTGAAACGTTGCAATAAATCATGTATTATTTCATAAACAGTAAAATATATTCAATTCTTCATTATTGCTTTGTCAAAACATTTCAGAGCCGTGAAAACTAATTTTTGTTTTTTTTTCCTCATAAAGAGTAGATTTTAAGGGTTGAAATGTTGCTACAAATCAAAAATTATTATTCAGAACATAAAAGAATGCTTATTCTATTGACATAACACTTCTATGGTTTTTACGCTTTTGCAGGAAGGGGTAGTTTTCACTCGCTAAAAACAATAAGCACACATTATGGATATGTAACTTTTGTAAAGGAGGGTAATAGGCAATTGAATATGTACTTTGGATAGGAACTACAACGTAACAGAAATTTTATTGTTTGATATGTTCAATTGACCCTAAAAAATGATAAAACCGCGGAGTGCGGAAGAATTCGGAGGTAATACCCTATTTTTACCGTTGTATACTGGACTAAATGTAAACGCAACGGTCATTGTTCATTGTAATCATTACTTCTAATGATGACATTGCGATTTAGGGATTTTTAGTTGATAGCCATGTGTGTGAAAGCTTTGTAATTTTGGGATTTTATTGGACAATAATTAACACTTTCCCTGACCTACGCAACCCTCCGACATTTCCGATTCCAGGCCGACCCGACAGCTCGCAAACTATGCGGGTACCTTGCCTCCGACAGGTCTCACTACTTCTCGACGTATCCTTTTCAAATCTGTCCGTATCCTTCGAACAAGGAACATTGGATTATCGCCTTTACTTCGCCGATCGAAGTTTGTACGTATAAAAAGACAAAGCTTGCGATTTATTCAAAGCTTGCGAGGCTGGCCTAAAAATAACCTAATGATTTGATAGAGTTTTTGCTTGTGTTTGCTCTGTAGCAAAGTCGTGTTGGATCTTTTACCCCTGCGGAGTTGCAAATATGTGACTGATTGGTTTATTTTTGTACCTCTGTAACGGTATTTCGAGAGGGATTTTTTTAATGAATGTCAAGCGTTTCTTATTATCCTGTTCCAGACGAGAATAACATTCGGTATCTTATTATAGACGGGGTATTTCCAGAAATAGTCCCGAATCTAAAAATAAACCACTTCGTGAGAGAAGGTGTTTATAAAGAAAATACCTAAAATAATAGGAGAGACCCAGTGGAGGACGTTATATCTAATTCTCCTGAACCACAAAAACGTTTTATAGTTCAGCGTAGACTAGTGGGTGTCATGTTTTATTTTCGTTGTGGATGTATTTTGGCTTTTTCAGTTTTAACTCAAGATCTTGCAATTGGGTCATCATTGTAATAAGTATGTACTATATAGTGGAATCCGAATTTAATAAATCGTTTACAGGAGATAGAACTAATCAAAATAAAATTGCCTTAAATATGAGTTGAGAAGTAATTGAATTTCCTAAAAATATATATTTTTTAATATTGTAATACTGTTGGACCGTTAGAAATTAAATAGTTTTTTAATGAAAACAAAACTGATGGACTGGTGAAACAGTCCTAAGCTGTGGAAACAAAAAGATCTCTTTGTTTTATTTTATGTGATTATTTTTTCTCAAGGAGGATGATAAAATAACAAGAATTTTAGTAAAACTCTAAACTCTAAAGGTTTCAGGTGTTTGAATTTACTCGGTACTCGTCTTCATGAACCTCTACTGGAAGACTCAGTATTTTTTAAAGCAACTTTTGGTCCATTTGTCCTCTTGTAAATTCAATCTGCGGACATATTGTACATACATATATGAAATTTGATTGGGTAGAACAACAGATTTAATGCGAAAAACGGACATTAGACTTCTTTGTTGGTAATATTTAATAAATATTTTTGTAGATAATAGTTGAACGTTAATTACAATAACAGCGCATTCATGTTTGAGGGCTGCATAATAAATATTTAATTAATCATTTATTTAATTAATTATTGGTTTTTATAACTTAAATTTTAATTTACAAGTTCAATGACAAGCAAGACATGATCAATTCTAATCAGAGATAGAATGTCGAGGACGGTAACAAAAATATTTATAGGTTAATATTTTTGTGATAAGATGTTATATTTTTGATTGTTGTTTATTTGTTGCAGTAGAAAAGCTGAAAGATTTTCATGATGCTGCAGTGAAAATATTTGAGATTCTTATAGGTAAAATTTCGTAAGTACATGGAATTTCAAATTCTGAATTTTTTTTATATAATTTACAGAAATCTAAAAAATTAGTATAAGAATTTACACAAATTAAGTAAATATTTTTTATTTTTATGTTAATTTTTGTTATATTTTTACTAAGCAGTAAATTTTTACAAATAAAATCTGTTATTTTTTATATCTGCAATAATTTTTCAGTGTGTCTGTAATACATTGGCAGAAATTCCCTTGACAGGCGATACGTCATCATAAATCGGTTTTATTGTTTTTGTTTGTGCACCAAAATACCGGCAAGCGGCATATCGCTGTATATAACGAAGTTTTATCTTATTATTGTTACATCAAATTTCATTTCCTTGCTACTGTTAACATATTTGTTCTAATTTCAAATGATACCAGTTAAAGAAAAACGTGTTTTCCAGTAGTTCAGGTTCTTGGAAGCATTAAAAAAGATGCACTTTGTTCCAAACTTTATTAAAACAAATTGACGACATTTAACGTGTTTTTTTTTAATTTTTAGTTTGTTATGTAATATCAATGTTGGAATTGTATGTAGGTATCTTGGTTGTACATCGCAGGACAAGAAAATTTCTGTATACTATTTTGTATGTTATATTTCTTTAACAAAAAACATTTTTTTAATTTAAAATTAAAGCTTTTTCACTATGTTCGTAAAGTGATTTTAAATTATAAATACCCCTTAAAGCACCTAAAACATTTTAATTGTTATTCATCATATCAGTTTGTCATTATTTTTCAAATATGTAGTTTCTTTCAATTCAATTAACATTTCTTACGAATTTTTAAGTTTATGCAAAATTTTCCCAGTCTCTGAAAACAATTAGCGTGTCAGTTTTTTCTATTTCAGATGTGACAATATCACCTAATATATGAAATATACAGGGTGTTTATTAAGTACTTGCACAAACTTTAAAGCGTGAAAATTTTTGTTTTATATTTTGATTACATTTTTGTTCTAATTTAACGAAATTCGGGAAACTGGGAGTATTGATGATGAGACACTCGAATATTTACATAGTTTTTTGTTTTATGTTAGAGGGCGCCAGATATAGTGTTGTACCTGGATTTAAGTAACCATAACTTGTTGGTGTCGCACTGTATGTCATTTTTGAATAAACATACCTATTCTCCATTCAATTTTACGTGCAAAAGGTACTCTTAGTATTTGTCGCTGAAAGCAGCTGTTTCAGCTGCTGAAACCTGCGTTGGCATTTTGTAAGTTGAATCATCAATCAAGAATTTTTGAAGAACAAGTGTAAAAAAGGTGTACTTTATTGATTATATTGCGGTGTGACAAACATAGATCATTGACAAGACTAAGACTAAACTACTTCTACAAATAAGTTAATAACATTTACAATAATTAATTGCTGAAACAATTTTTTTTTGAGCGCTCTAAATCTTAAGAATCAAGCCGTTGCAGACCCATGTTCATATGAACTTTTTATTCAAAAATTAGTCAAATATTCACCCTTTAAAGTTTTTACAAGTACTTAATAAACACCTTGTATAATGTAAGTTGCCCCCGCTTATTACCCCAAACGTTTACAGAGATGCTGCATTACAATATGCGCTAAAAAAATATCAAAACTAGTCAACGGTAAAAGAGTTTACTTGGGAAAAAGACAGTAAGTGTGCTTTTTGCGTTTGCGGAGAAGTTTTACGGTAAAATATATCACCAGAATTTGGTCATTTTATCATATAAATTTTTGTAATATTACCAGGACAATTTATGGTATTTTCAAAAATTAGTATTTAAACTTTTACTGTAATTTTCACCATTCTAGGAAAAAAATTGTGTTTTTTAGTCAATTTAAAGGGTAACAGAATTGTACTTATTTTTATCCAAAAAATCATTAATTCTGTTTACGTTGAAAAGCTGAGAAAAAGTTTAATTCAATGGTACAATGAAGATATATGATATTTTTATAACGCTTTTGAATATTTTTTCGTTTAGTATATAGATATCTGCTTCGAAATTCAAATATACTATTTTTTATTTCTTGTAAACTTAATCTAAATTGATATATACAAAATTTCTACATAATTACAAAGAAAACATCATATTTTAAAAGCAAACTTGTTACATGAACAAAAATCTGACAGATTGGGGTACCCCTGTCATTTTCGGCCTTGTATTTACCTCCATCCGTTTCGCTTTGCGAGACTGAAAGATGGTAAACAATTTGACACCTAAAATTACCATGTACCAATAAAATTTGTACAATTTAAAACGACAAGCTTCGTGCAAAACCACAACGCCTTAGGCAATGACGTAAAAAAACGAGTCGACTTCATGCCCCCCGCGTAGCGGGTTCGAAAGGGAAGGCCGTAGGGCCATAATCGTGGCCAAACAGGTGTCTACTCACATGACAGCGAGAGGAGAGCCAGAGGAAAACGGTTTTCCGGACGACGCGGCTGCACCTCACTCACATCGCACCTGGTGTTAGTCAAGTCGGCGGTAACGGTCTTACGATGGCATCCCAATTTTCTCGGCCGGGCGAAAAACGACGTTCGTCGCGTACGGAACGATCGAGTGTGCCGCGGGATCATCTGGGAAAGCGGCCGTCGCTTGGAAAATAGCTGCGCAGATCGACCTCGCGTCGCCATGGTTACAGGCGGGAATTCGGGCAAAAACAGCGATTAGTGCGGTTTTCGCGAGGTGGCGATCGGTGAGCGATAGCCGCTGGAAAATCTGGCGGATGCGCCGGTATCTCGGGGTGGGTAAGAAGCGACTGCCGAAGTTTTAGAAAAAGGAGTTAATGGTGTTACGTGTTACAGCTTTTTGCGGTTCTGTGGTAAAAAATGCGTGTCAGTTTGAAAGGTAATCAGTACTTGTTCTTTAAACTTTTAACTTTTTTAAGAAGTTCGATAACCACTCACAGAAACTGTGAAAACTCATACGCTTTTTATATATTTGTAATAGTTTTTATACAGGCAAAATGCGAATAAATTGAACATACATGATACATTGTGTAGAATTACGTGTTTGAGTGTATATTTTCTTTTTGCGATGTATTTTTACCTTTTTCATTGCACTTTTACATTTTAAAATGTATTATTCTCAATCCTTTATGTGTTTTTACTATATTTAATGTAAATATACACATAAAAGTGTGAATTTACATATAATTTGGCTCAACCAATCAGATTAGACACGTGATCACCCGATGAGGTGTTATCGTTGCTTGTTTAAAAAACTGTGCTAGTTGTTCAGTAGGCATGTTTAGATTCATTTGTGACGTAATAATGTAGCAGTGTTTTAACTGTACATACAAATAGTGAGGTAGGTAAATAATATGAATTATGTGTAAATTATATAAATCTCTTGGTATTACTTCATTTAAAATTACACTCACTAGCGACTACAATTTTTAGTCACTAGCGAAATACAATAGTTATAATTTTAATAAACACAACATTAAAATCACTGGCATGAAAAATACTTTGAAGCATTATACTTTTTCTAAGCTCACAGATAAAAAGGTTATTTTTGATAAATTTTCAAAATATGCCAATAATATTATTATTAGTATTCAGCCATCTGCCAATATATTTATAATTATAATTATTTAAATCACAAGAGGCAAAATATTCACTATAATATATGCCGTATCATGTAAACTATCGAATGGGGTCTCGATGGCGTAATACGCTGGACGTTGTCTTAGGAATCGAGAGGTTCAGGGTTCGATCCCCGACCAGGTATGGTTTTTTTTCAATTAATATAATACTTTAAATGCAATTTTTCATCGTCTACTTTTCAGAATATTTCCGCACCAGTTGCTGGTTAATTTCTCACAATGTTGCCACAGAATAGGTATCGCGGTGTTGCCAAATATTTGCTGTTAGAGGCGTGTTAGATTCCTATAGTACGATCATATTCGATGCAAAGTAATAAATCATTGCCTGTCAAGGGAACCAATGAAGTACGCTTTTAAGGGTTTTACAANACGTGTATCTATTACATAAAATTATTTTAATTATGTACCAATGGAATCGAGCCTATCCCGTGGCTGCCTCATTGCTATGCAGCCTGGCGTTTTCCCCCCGTTCCTTATCAGAAAGTAAAAGTCACTATTTCATCAAATAAAATGTTCCAGTGAGTACGCGACAGTGTTCCTAATTAGGTACCAGACGAATAATTACTGAAACAGGAGACCACGCCGCGGCATTTGAACTTTTACTTTTGCGCCACGGTTACGTAATCCGGTGTACGGGAAGCGTCGGGTAAACAAAATCATAAAATTGACCTCCGAAATAACAAACAGTATCTAAGTGTTATGTTATGTACTTAGCGCACTTACAATTCGGTGTAATAGATTCGTGGAGTAACCTCCGTGGTCTACAAGCGAAGCTGAGCGCGGATTATCGACAGTGGCGTGCGTTCGAGAGGAGCCCAAATAATATTTTTATATAATAGTAGGTTCTGAAAGATGAGAATTCGAGATTTTCAACTAATATTCGATTTTTTTTTCGTGTCTTGTGAAAATATGTTAATTTATCATCTTTTAAAAGCCCTCTCAGAAAATCAGCTCAAAAAAAATTTTTTTAGAGCTCGCTTAAGATTTTGAAAAATTTCCAAAATCGTCAAAAATTGATTTTTTTAAAAAAATTTTTCTCATTATTTTATCATTTTCTAAGTTGAAAAAAATCTCGATTCTGAAAATTTCAGATCGATATTTTAATTTCTAACTTTCAAAGTAGTGTACACCTGTTTTCGAGCGACCTCTAAAAATAAATATCAACGAACCAATATTTTTTTTATTGAATTTGATGAACAAAAGAATAGAAATGAATCACGAGACTTAAATTTTAAAAAATTATAAATATTTGATACTCACAGTGCGGTATTAAATTTTGCCTCGAGAAATTTTTCAAGTATCGTGATTTATTTCTATTATTTTGTTCATCAAATTCAATAAAAAATATTATTAGTTCGTTCATATTTATTTTTAGAGGTCGCTCGAAAACGTTTTCGATACACTACTTTGAAATTTAAAATAATTACTAGTGACGCTTTAGAAATTAAAATATCGATTTGAAATTTTCAGAATCGAAATTTTTTTTGAGCTCATTTTTTGAGGGGGTTCTTAAAACATGATAAACTAACATATTTTCACAAGACACGAAAAAAAAATATTCGTTTTTTTTTTGGCTACCCTAGTAGATAAGTATGTTAAAAGTTCGTCAGTAATTTACTCAATAAAACTATTGAACCTTGCAAAATTAATGAATGTGTCGAAAAATAATGAATTATGCCATTATTTTTCAAACACTTAATATAATCTTATGCTGTTTTTAATAGAAAATAAGCAACCAGGAATATGGTCCATTTGCGTTCTTAAACATAGAAATATTGAGCCACCTAAACATGCTAGTTTTTTGTTACTGCGTTTTTATCTATCCTACACACGTCTCCTCGAAGCAGATCGAATATGATCGCCTTTCAGGGAAACTCCATAGCCGTGATATAGCTTGACGACAGAGGTAAACAACGATAAATCTAATGGATGCCCTGGGAACGGTAGAGGCGGCATTGTACTTCAACTTCAATTAAGAGACGGCTTGCACTTAATCTATTTTGAAGGAAAACGGAGGAAAACGACCACCAAATAACTCGCGTTGCCTGATATAGATCGGTCAGAGTGTATTATGTAGGTTAGATATTTTGTATGACGTTTACAGTACTACGTACAAATGTAACATTAAGTAGCGGTAGCATTAAGCAAGTAATATGCATAGTGTCACATGCCATATAAAGTTTAGCAATACTGCGGTCAATAGATGACGCTGCCGAAAGCTGACTATAACAACAGACGGTGATATTAACCATCATGAAGTTGTAATCACTTAAATTGAATAAACTAAATAATAATTTACAGGAATTTATAAATACGCGGATAAGTAATATTTTAAATTAAATGTTTTTAGTTTAATATTATCTTATTATTAAATCTTGTAGATTATTTATTAGTGTTGCGAATAATATGTAGGTTTAAATTTCGACCCATAAATAATCTAGGACTGTTTCTCCTTCTTCAATTTCGTAACTTGAACAGGGACAGGTAGAGTTCGTAGACTTTTATTGTTTTAAATGGAACAAATAATCTAGGCTATTTTTAATTCTCATGTAAAATATAGGCGTAGCGTGTGTTTGTCAGTTTTGTTTGTAATTAGGGAAATTGTTGAACATTTTAATCAATCTGATATTTTAAAAATAGACTAGCGAAGTCTGTTGGTCTGTTTAAAAATCCTGATCTCCGATTGTACATATTTTCAATTAAATAATGAATTTTATCAACAAAGTTTCGGAATGTCAATGAGTTCTCACTATCACCAATTAAATAAAAAGCCCATGCGGATATGTAGACGATATTTTTGCAAGTTGACCTTTTACCATTGCGGTATTAAATATTTTTCTATATATATAGATAATATTACTAACACGGAACCAAAATTTACATTTATTTTGGAAATGGAAAACAATTACGCTTTTTAGATATTTTAATTAAGAAAAATGACAAATAAAGTTTAAAGAAATAAGCGTTTATAGGAAAACAATCTGACAAATATCTAAACTTTAATTCCAATCATCAAATTTTTAATAATAAATTGAAATACATAAAAAGTGTACTCATAAACAATCCAAACCTTGAAAATTTTGTTGAAAGAGTTTTTAAGAATATTGAAACAATACAAATACTCGTATATAATATTCCTGTATTATCGGAGAAATTGATTAGAATAAGGTAACAAATTTAACATTAGAACAATTTTTCAAATAACAAACACTTTACGACCGTTCGACATTTACTGATGTAATATTTACATAATTGAAATAATCTACTTCCAAACTGGTCCGACATGGTAATTGCCACTCGGGGTTTAAATAAACATAACAACATTAGCATAAAAAATACTTTGCAGCACTACTTTTCTAGGCTCGCAATTAAAAAGGTCTTTTTTAAAAATGCAACAATTTATTTTTTTATATTTTTGATAATTCTTCAACATATGTCAATAATATTATTATTAGTATCCAACTGTTTGACAATATATTCATCCTTATAATTATGTATACCTCATGAGGAAAATATTAAGTATATAAGCCGTGTGATGTAAACTTTCCGTCGGGGTCTCGGTGGCGTAATACGCTGGACACTGTCTTATGAATCCAAAGGTTCGGGGTTCGATCCTCGATCAGGTATGGCTTTTTTTTCAATTAATATAATATTTCAAATGCAATTTTTCATCATTCACATTTCAGAACAAATATTTCCGCACCAGTTGCTGGTTAATTTCTCACAGTGTTGGCATAGAATAAGTATCGTGGTGTTGCCAAATATCTGCTGTTTAGAGGCGCGTTAGATTCCTAGTTAAATTGTAACAGAAAATCGTGAAATATAAAATGTAGAATACGTATGTAAGCGAAATTCAATTGACTTAAAATATGGTAGATTATTTGCAAAGAAAGCAAAATTAAAAGATCGTCTTGTAGGCCTTTTTTGTTT